AGCACCTCCCGCAAACTGAATATACGGTCAATACAGCCATGTCCTGGGCGGAAACCAGCCTGCTCTTCCCTAATCCGAGATTCCTGTTTCACAGTGGGGCGGCGAACGCGAATCGATACCAGTAATTTTGTCACAACTGGCGCTAGACTAGTACGCTTGTGGTTAGAACAGTCTGTGCGACTGCCCTTCTTTTACATTGCCACTATAATCTATTCGCTCCAATTAGCCGGGAAACTTCTTTCTAAATGCATTTGAATAAGGTGGTCAGTGCTTTGCAGCGGACCTCACCTCCATCCTTAAATAGTGCAGGTGGGAGGGAATCCGGGCCAGCAGCACGAAAACGATTGAGGGTTGTGTTCGCGTTTCGGACCTCGGCCTCTGACGGAGGCTCTAAACTAACCGTCTATGGCTCGTCCTGCATCACCTGAGTAGAAAGAGGTCCGGGAGCAGGGGGCTAGCTAGACTCTCTGGCTCTCTATGTTCACCAGGCTTCGCGATCTTCCCTGTGGAGCAGGTTCAACTCGGCATTGTAGCTCTAACATCAGTTTTCCATCAGTTGAACAGCGGAATCCGTAGATTGATCGTGTGTTTAGCGAAACCACGGTTGACGCTAGCAGAGTTGTGCAAACACGCCGGATGTGTAAGCAATGCTGCTCAAGATCCTGGGTCAGGGGTCTCTACAGTCTATAAGCTAAAGAATTCTGAAATCTACTGAGAATTTGTAGAGCGACAAGTCTGGGTACCTCATGTTGTTTCCGACGGGGCTATTGGATGTCACCAAGGAGGAGGGCAATTTTAGCCCACACAACTGAGGGATCAGGTCAAGCCAACATAGGCTTTATGTGCCTAGATGGGACCATTTTCAGCATTTTGGATTCTTGTCAGCAAATGGACTTAGTTAACGTCATCAAGTGTGCAAACTTTTACAAATTTGGAGACAGAAATGTAACTGGTACACTGCCGTCACTCGAGTAAACAGTTCTGTTAGTTAGAGTAGCGATTGTACAATGCTCAACAGAATCTTCGGGATTCGCATCAAATAAAAAGAGTAGAATTTTACTAAAATGTTGCTTTATAACTGGCTTGTGTGTCCGAAAGCAATGAATAGAGGGTCGCGCACAGTACCTCATCCTTTGTATTTAAAATGTGCATACATTGGGAGAATCTCAGCGACCTTGCCAATTGTTTGCACTAGATTCTCTCAGACTGTTCTTACAAACTGGTATACCTAGTAAATAAATAACACGAAAACTCGTGCAGTGGAGAAGGCAGCGACCGATATAAAGGCTCCAACTTAATGTACAGTCGGTTGTACGACCTCGCCAACGGTACCTGTTTGCGATGTGGTCAGTCCGTGTTCACAACTGGCCAGGCGAACGGGGTCCATGTTTAACGCGCTGGCACCGAGGGTTCAGAGAGATTTTGTGCTCGGGAGGAATAAGCAGTAATCGGTGCAGAGCCGTTGAAGACGATTCAACTTATCCGTCCTGCGTGTACCATACCCATGTTGACCACCGATGTTGTGTTTATCAGTTGCCAACCTATTAACCTGTAGTAAAGTCCTGTGGGATCAGCACGAGATCTATGCGACTTTTCTTATGAAGGACGTCGGAAAGTAGATGGTAGAATCCAGCTTTCGCTGATTTCGGGCTGCTATGCGTGGGAACGTACGCGAGTACAACAAACAAACAACGTTTGTTGACCTTGAGGCTTGACAATCGTACGGAGCTTCCTAGCCAAATTTTACCGACCCGACTAGGAAGTAGGATCCAGTGTTGCTTCTGAACGGCTATTTAACGCAGTGCTCACTCCGGGCAGGCCCGCGGCTACAGCAGCTGCGTCTCCGGATAATTTACAGTGACTGTGGAAGCAAGCAGAGAGGGATGTCATTAATATAGCTGTGCTGGCGTCTTGTAACTGTGTCTCGGCTAGGGTTTCCGGAGTGTGAGAAGACCATACCTGCATGGGCGTCCGGACCTTAAAAGCGGCCAGTTTGAATTGGGAACGTACACTAGAACGGTCCGGTCCTCACGATAGTGTGGCACATAGACGGTCTTGAACCTCCTGCCGGCGTTGTTAAAACTGTCCATCAAGGCGGAACGTAGGTGTAGACTAGGGATGCGAAGAGGATTACTAAGAATGGGGCAACTCAACACACGTGGAACAAAACAAGTAGCGGTTGCTTCGGTTAAGCATGGTTTAGCGAAGTCGGCTGCCAGCACCACAGCGGATGCATGCAAAGATAGAGAGGGTAAATGGACAGCAGGGTAACATAGGTGCACGTATTGGTGTACTTGAAACAGACGACAGGTGACCGAATTTCACCAAGCCACAGTTATAGAGATCACGATAGTGCTATGGGTTAATGTCGGTCCGGGTACCCAAACCTAGTTGGATGACTTCGTTAACTACTGTTTCTAGGTCGAGTGAGCAACATCAGGTTGTAGTTTGACAGTCGTTGGATAGTGAACGATGCTACATAACAGCTACTGAATTGGTCACAACGGTCGTGACCCACCTCCGTAGATCAGGGGTGTTAACCATGGATTGGCAACAGTCGAGTTGAAGAAGACGAATATTGGCAGATGCTAGCATTTCGTATAACATCTCATTACATGCAGTAACAGGAAATCCTTTTATATGTCTTACAGGGCACAGTCAAACCAATCAAATTTATTGTTGTGGTTATTGTCGTCAGATTAGGACCACGACAACCGCAGGTTGACAACTAATTGCTTTTGGACACACAAAGCTGGTCTAATTCGGCTTATCGCGACGGCCTCGGCAAATCGTAAAAGGCGTGCATTAGTATGACGTAACAAGATCCGGAAAGCTGATAAGGGATTGACCTTGTGACGAGTCGCCAAGATGTGCCTGCCTATGGAGGACG